AGATCCGGCGTGACAATATGCCCATTTGGTAGAGGAGAATAATTTAAACAAGTTTGAGTGTAATTTTTGTGGTAAAGTATCAACTGGTAGTGTTTATCGGGTGTAACAACACCTCGCGGGAGGTTATAGGAATGTCACTGCTTGCCTAAAGTGTCCAGCTCATGTAAGAGAAGAGATTAGAGAGTTCATGTCAAAAACGAAAACACAAAAAGAAGAAAAGAACATGTTGCCTGATTTCGATGACATGGACATGGAAGATGAAGATGTTGAGATCAATGTCAATCAACGCCGTAAGTTGACAAGTAGCAGCCAAGGTTCATCCAAATCCAAATAAAAAATGCCAAAGAGAAAAGGGCCTATGGATGTTTACTTCACACCCAATTTTGAATCAGTGGTGAAAAATCGAAGAGACCAAGCAAAAGGAAAGCAAACCAAAATTGATGCAAATGACCCTTACAAAAAAGAAATGAGAGCTCGGGTAGTACAAAAATTTGCAAGGTGGATGTATGATTCTGGTATCCCTTTTAATGCAGTAAATTATGAGAGTTTTGGACCAATGATGGAAGCCATTGGGCAATATGATCCTGGTATGAAGCCACCAACTTACCATGAAGTGCGGGTTACCCAACTCAAAAAAGAAGTGAAACATACTGAAGATTTGATGAAGAATCATAAAGAGGATTGTGCAAAATATGGGTGTTCCATAATGGCTGATGGCTGGACTGATAAGAGAGAAAGGACATTGATTAACTTTTTAATTAATTGTTCAAGAGGAACCATATTTGTTGAGTAGGTTGATGCTTCTAGCTATTCAAAAGATGGGCAAAAACTATTTGAATTACTAGACAAGTTTGTGGAGAAAGTTGGAAAAGAGAATGTGGTGCAAGTTATCACTGATAGTGCTACAGCTAATGTGTTGGCGGGTAAGAATATTTCCTTACATCAAAATTGTTTACTCATAGTTTGTTTTGTATTTAAAATTTAAAAACTTGAAAATAATAATTCTTCGTTATTGTTACATTATAGGGAGATTTTTGGAAGCCAAGTATGAACACTTGTATTGGACACCATGTGCTGCTCATTGCTTGGACTTGATGTTAGAAGACATTTTCAAGATACCTAGACTGAAAAAGACATTTGAACGGGGTATTGCAGTACATGACTACATTTACAACTGACCTATGTTACTAAACATGATGAGGCGCTATACAAATTTGAAGAATTTGATCAAGCCTGCAAAAACTAGATTTGCAAGCGCCTTTCTGACTTTGTCTAGGATGCATCAACAAAAAAACAATTTGAAAAAGATGGTCACCTCCGAAGCCTGGACCTCAAGCAAATGGGCAAAGGAGCCACAAGGTAAAAGAAAGGCGCAAACTTTCCTGATGCCTTCATTTTGGAATACTGTTATATTTGCCCTTAAGGTCTCGGGTCCTCTCGTCAAAGTGCTTAGATTGGTTGATACCGAGAAGAAACCTCCCATTGGATACATTTATGAGGCAATAGATAGAGCAAAAGAATGCATTGCAAGTTCATTTGATAATAAGGAAGAGAATTATAATGAAATCTTCGAAATCATCAACAAAAGATGGGATGTCCAATTGTATCGGCCTTTACATGCAGCTGCGCACTTTCTTAACCCAGAATTCTTTTACCCAAAAGCGTTAAAGGTGCAAAAAGATCATGAAGTGATGAATGAGTTTTATGAATGCATGCAAAGGTTAGTCCCGGATGTCACTGTTCAAGATTTGATCACTAATGAGATAAGTATTTATATAAAGGCTGAGAGTCTTTTTGGCAAGTCTGTTGCGATTAGACAAAGAAATGCATAGGCACCAGGTAATATATTATAAACTCATAGAGTTTATTTTTAGTAATACTTTTAGTAAAACTCAATACTTGGTAGCAATTATTTCTAACTAGTGATTATCGCAGCTGATTAGCGGGCATCATATGATTCTAAAACTCCAAACTTGCAAACTTTTGCCATAAAAGTCCTTAGCCTAACATGTAATTCATCGGGTTGTGAACGAAATTGGAGTGTGTTCGAACATGTGAGTATTTAACATTCTAATTAATTTTTTGTTCAATTCAAATATTTTTTATTCTCATTATATAGAATTTAATATCTTTTTAATACTTGTAGCTTCATAACAAAAAAAGAAATAGATTGGAACAGCGTCTCAATGATTTAGTGTTTGTCAAATATAATAGAACATTGAGATTTAGATATGACATGCGCAACACTCTTGATCCCATATCTTTGCAAAATATTGATGAAAGCAATGAGTGGTTGCTTGGGAGGATGGATGGAAAATCAGATGAAGATAATGAGCCTATGTTTGATGATGATGATGATGATGATGATGATGGCTTGACGTGGGCCACTGTTGCTAGAGCTTCTGAAGTAGAAAAAAGTAGCCATGCAAGTAGAGCAACAAGTTCACGCTCAAAGGCACAACCGAAGATATCTAAATCATCAAGATTAACTCCACTTCAATTAATGGATGAAGATGAAGCAGGCTCAGATGACACAGAGGAGGAAGATGTTGAGGGATATAAATCAACTGATGGAGAAGAAGATGACAGTTTGCTTGCCATTAATGTTGAGGATGATGATTGAATGACCGACCTAAGTTCTAACCTTTTTCTTTTGATATTGATGATTTGAAGTGTTAAGATATATACTAGTATTTGTTAAATATTTATATTTTGGAATGTCTATGTTTTTGTTTTTGTTTTTGTTTTTGTTTTATTGAATGTGGATTATTAGGCACAACCGAGGATATCTAAATCATCAAGATTAACTCCACTTCAATTAATGGATGAAGATGAAGCGGGCTCAGATGACACAGAGGAGGAAGATGTTGAGGGATATAAATCAACTGATGGAAAAGAAGATGACAGTTTGCTTGCCATTAATGTTGAGGATGATGATTGAATGACCGACCTAAGTTCTAACCTTTTTCTTTTGATATTGATGATTTGAAGTGTTAAGATATATACTAGTATTTGTTAAATATTTATATTTTGGAATGTTTATGTTTTTGTTTTATTGAATGTGGATTATTTTATCTTTGAAAATTGGAATGTTATGTAATGGCCCCGCTTGGTAGAACTATGGGACAGTTATTATAGCTTATACCTTAACAGTTTATAACTTATAATTGTGAACATAAGCTGATTTTTGACTTATAAATTAAGTTTTTCCACCCCCACTCAAAGAATAAGTTGATTTTTGACTTACAAAAAGCTATAAGTTGTATTGTTAAGCTGAACCAAACACATCAAAATAGTTTAAATTAAGCTAAAAACTTAAATAAGCTAAAAATAAGTCCTACCAAACAGGGCCAATATGCATTTTCATGGCTTTGAGAATTATTTTATATTTTGTCTTGAATCTTAATTACTTTTTATTTAAAAAAAATTATCTTAGTATTATGAATTATTAGTCTATGTTAATTTTTTTATTTTTTACTAAAACTGTGCGTCTTACTTCAATAAAGCCCGCATCTCGCCTTGTGCGTTGCGCCTAAGCCCCGAGAGACCTTCAGGGCCTTAGCGCACCTTGAGCCTTTAAAAATACTGGTCACTTTGTCCGACAACATCTGCAATCTGCCTCTATCTCGCTTTCTTTTGTCTCATCGGCTTTACAACTTGCGGATTTCTTCAGCAAGACTCACACTACCGCTCGGTTTCAGTTTCTTCTTAGCAAACTCTCAGTATTTTCTGATAAAACACTTTGAGTTAGAGCGAGAGTGTGAGAATATATATTGTATATATGGTATATTAGAAATTAGGCAATTTCCTTGCTTGTGTATATTACAAATTAGGCAGTTTCCTTTTCTTTGCATTTCCTTTTTCTGTCATAGACTAGGACTATATAACTAATACACTCTTTGTAAATATACTTAAGTCGAATACACATAAAAACTTTTAGAAATCTTACAACCAAGACACAATGCAAAATGACAAATTTAAACACAACACATGTTGGAATTCTATCAGTATCTAGCAGAACAATATCAAATGCAAACAAAAATAATAGGAGAAATTACACACACAAAAAAAAAACCTAAAGTTTGAGCTTTTAACAAAATAAACTTTGAATTTTTAATTCTATCAATTTTTAATCCCTAAACTTTTGATTTATTTTCAATCTAAATCATTTACCTATTTCCGTTAAGTAAAAGTGACTGAAAAATTGAATATTTTAGTCATTAAGGTATTTTAACGTAAGGTATTTTAAAGTTTATTGACTAAATTTTTTTTCCATCCGTTTTACTTACTACTTACTAAAAAGGCAAATGGTTTAGATTGAAAATAAATAAAAAAATTAGATTTTAAATTAACACAATTGAAAATTCAGGATTTATCTAATTAAAAGCCAAAAAAACGTGATTATTTTGTAATTGTCCCAAAATAATAATCACTATGCTTGGTTTCACTTTTCAAAAAACACTTTTCAGAAAATTCTACTTTCTTATTTTTCGTGTTTTTTTGTTTTTACTGATTTTTTTAAATATTTTAAGCAATTTTTTTAATTTTTAGGCATACATAACTTAGATGTATCTAAAAAGTAAAAAATTTGTGAAGAAAACATTTTAAAAATTCACTAAATGCCCAAAATACAAAAAAATACGATAATTCAGTACATTTTTTGTATTTTTATGCATTTATTAATTTTTTAAAATATTTTTTCACAAATTTTTTACTTTTTAGATACATTTAAATAAGGTCCATCTAAAAAATTAAAAAAAATATTTAAAATTTAAAAAATATTCACTAAAAACAAAAAACAAAAAATACGAAAATCAAAAAGCTTAATTTTTAAAAAACTTAATTCAAAAAACTTAAACCAAACACACTCTGAATAAATAATGGCGAAACAGCATCAAAGATAAGTAATTCGCCAGCATTCTAACAGATACATAAATGTCAGTGCATAGATAAGTAGCTAGTTCAAGAAATTGATCTAATGAGTCCAAACACAAGGTTACCTTCTCAGGCGAAACAGCGTCGAAGACATAAACCTCGCCTTGAAACGATAGAGTTAGCTGATCAGCGCCACCTCCTCCGACGGCCGGAGGGATTTCAGAACCAGGAACATACAAAGCATGCGGATGAACACCGTCGACGCCGTTCATCACCGGACCACCGCCACCGTCGTGGAGGGCGGCGTGGGCTTCGAATCGGATCTGAGGGTTGTCTATGGACTCTCCACCCGCAACCTCGTCGTCTTCTTCGTCTTCGATCTGGTTTTGTTGTTGTTGTTGTTGCATGTTCATGGCCTCGGCAACGTACATGGAAGCTTCGTGGTTGGTCTCAGGCATTTCTGAAGCATTTACAAATCAGATTGAGACGAATCTAAGTACACAATACAACAAACTAACCCTAAATTTTTTTAAAAAGACACAAAATTCAAAGAAAAACTCAAATTTGATTCTGAAGAACCCTAACGAGTTTGGCAACTCGTCAATTAACCTAGGGAAACAAAATTGGTAAAAATATATAACGTGAAAGTATATATTTGTAGAGAGAGCGAGAGAGAATTTGAGAGTGAATTTGATTTGATTGTTGAGGAGAGAGTGGAAAGGAGAGTGAGTGATTGGTGGTTGGGTCGATATGATCCAGACGGGAGCTCTTATTTGCACACACCCAATTCATTCTGTGCCTACTCGTTTCGAACCCTCTATTTTAACTAAAAAAACTTAAGAAGTATTAAATTAGTCCAAAAAAAAAATTAATAATTTATATTAAAAAATTAAAAAAAAAAATTCTCTCTACTTTTTATATATTTTTTTTTGTAAAAAATTAAAAATCATTCTAAATATTTTTTTTTTAGCTCATATTTTAACCAAATAATCAAAAAGTTACTAAATTAACCTATTCCCAAACGAGACCTTAATAATAATTTTTTTTATTACTACAATTTTATTTTCAAATGAAATTATTATTATGAATATTACACATAATACAAATAAACATATTTAGAAATTAAATGTCGAAAGAGATGATAATTTTCAAAATTTTATGTTCGAACAAGTTATTTATTTTTAAAATTCTACTTCTGAATAAATTATTTATTTTCGAAATGCTTCTTCCAAACAAATTATTTATTGAGAATGATGTGCATAGAGGCTAATGGGTGTGTACAAATGAGTGCTGCTATTAGCACTTGTCAAAATTCTTTGGACTCCCTATTTTATAATTTTTTTTATTACAATTATATCATAAAGTAAAATTACATTAAAAGACATTATTAAATGGAACACCCACCTATCAATAAGAATTAACACTCTATAATATTGGACACTCACCTCCACCCCACTTCCAACTCCAACTATACGTATTCCATGTTTGTAAACCCTAAACCTATTACTTTTCATAACCAACTAACATAAACCCTAAATCTATTATTTTTCATAATCATCTTAAATCCTGAATGTGTTATCTTCATTACCATCATCAACACTATTGGACTTGAAAGTTTTGCTTCACTTATGTCACTGTGTACAGCAATGGAGGAGGAGGACAACAATTCTAGTGAGACTGACGTTCCATTGGTAAGTTTATCTATCTTGTATTAACATTCTCGGTCATTTTCGGTCGTTTTCGTTCGCTCTTGTTTCGTTCAAATTGTTCAGTATTGGTTTTATGACTGTTAGAATTATGTTCGGTAATACAGTACTGAACATAATCCTTTAGTTTAATACATAAGTTCCGAACATTGATGCAGATAGTCAGTACTGTTCAACCGAATATCATTTTTATTTTCGTCACTGTTGAACTGAACAAAATCATTAGTTTCGGGACTGTTAAAATGAACATCATTTTCTCAATTTTGAAATTACATTCAAACGTGTTTTTAGGGTGATGCTTCGACTAGAGACAGTAAGGTTGATTCAGAACTTGTAATGGATTATAGTAATGAATTTGATACTCATGAGGTGAGTCTTTGATTGTTTTACAAGTAATGTACCTTTCTTATGTGCAATAATCGGTTAGTTTAATTTATTTATTTATTTCAGATTTTCAAGAGTCGAGATAAGTTAATTCGATGGGCACATCAAGTTGGAAGAAAAAATGGATTCGTTATTGTCGTGCAGAAATCAGATGGGGGTGGTATTCGAGGTAGGAAGCCAAGACTTAGCTTAGCTTGTGAGAGGAGTGGATCTTATAGGGACACTCGAAAAAACAGCAGGCCTAAGACAAAAAAAGCAAGACTGACTCGTACAAAAAAATGTGAATATCATTTTTTATTAAAGGGTAAAAAATTAGCCACAAATGATGACTGGATCTTAATAGTTATTTGTGGTGTGCATAATCATTCTGCTGCAGAATATCTTGAGGGTCATTCTTATGCTGGAAGGTTGTCACATGAGGAAACCTTTTTGTTGGTGGACATGTCGAAGAGTATGGTACGACCGAATGAGATATTGGTTACATTGAAACAGCGTGATGATGCAAATGCTTCCACAATGAAGACAATTTACAATGCACGTCATAGGTATAAAGTTGCTGAGAAAGTTAGGAGATCTCAAATGCAACAACTATTAGGTCAGTTAGCGATGAACAAGTACATTGAGTGGCATAGGAGCTGTGCAGATACTGAGACAGTGACTGATTTGTTCTTTGCACATCCTACTAGTTTGAATTTGTTACGTGCATTTCCAAAAGTATTGTTGATGGATTGTACCTATAAGACCAATCAATATCTGTTGCCCCTTCTGGAGATTGTAGGTGTGGCATCGACAGACATGACTTTTTCAGTTGCATTTGCATACCTTCAGTATGAGAAGGAGGATAACTATACATGGGCATTTGGTCTTTTGTGTAGTCTCATGGATGAAAATACTCTTTCTTCTGTTATTGTCACAGATAGAGAATTGGCCCATATGAATGCCATATGTACGGTGTTTCCTGCAACTACAAATTTGTTGTGTAGATGGAATATTGGAAAAAATGTGCTTTCCAATTGCAAAAAGATGTTTGAGACCAAGGATAAATGGGAAATGTTTATAATGAGTTGGAATATGTTGGTTATGTCATCGTCTGAAGAAGTATACATGCAACGACTGTCTTTGTTATATAGTGAGTTCAGTACTTATCAAGATGCACTTCATTAGGTTACCTCATCTTGGTTGGATACATACAAGTCGAAATTTGTGGCTGCTTGGACTGACACATTTATGCACTTTGGAAATTCTATAACAAATAAGTAAATACGAACATTTAAATTTACTAGTTGTTTGGTTTTTTATAACATTATTTTTATAACAGTTTATTTTCATATATAGGGTTGAGAGTTCACATGCAAAACTTAAAAAATATGTTGGATCAAGTCAAGGAAATTTTGAGTAGAATTGGACAAGGATACACAATTTACTTGAGTTGCAACATAGTGAAACAAAATCATCATTTGAGAAAAGCAAGTTAATTGTGCAACATGATTTCAAACCTACGCAGTTTAAGGAGCTTCGTGGTAATGTCTCAATTACTGCATTAGAGATCATATTGGCTGAGTCTAAACGAGCATCTTCTGTTGGTATTGATATTACGACATGTGGATATGTTGTTCGACGTACTCATGGTTTGCCATGTGCACATGAGATAGCAAATTACATGAGGGAAAATCAGCCAATTCCCCTATCTTTGGTTTGTTCATATTGGACTAAGCTTGATATGTTGAGTACCCCACACACTGTAAGTGAAGAGTGGACTTGTACACCTGAGTTAGAATTGTTTGCCAAACGATTTGAGGAAGTGGATCCAGATATGAAAAGGTTTTTGTTACAAAAATTGAGGGAGTTAGCCAAATCTGATTGTACATTTTTGATTGAGCCGGAAGTGAAGTCTAATCCACGGGGTCGGCCAAAATTGAAGATTGAGACCTCCACTCGTCGTGAGCCATCTGTGTTTGAAATAGTTGCTTCAGCACAAGATAGTTATCCACCCGGAGTCATTGCCAAGGCAAGTGTAACAACAAAAAATGTGAAAACAAAGAAGAAAGAAAAGGTACATGGTTTACTAGTGAGGTATGTAATTGTGTCATGTTGTCTACTTTATTGTCTAACATTGGCATTGGCCTGTGATAGGTTCACCGGCTTCGATCATTGAATCCAAGTTGTTTTTTAGAGGCATTCCCTTCTGAATTGAGATGATATATTAAATACGTTAAGGATGTTATAGCAGATGGCAATTATGGGTTTCGAGCTATTGCTGGTTTGATGGGTTTTGGAGAAGAAGGATGGTTACAAGTGAGAAAAGATTTACTTAAAGAGTTGCATGCGCATAGTGACCACTACTGGAAATTATTTGGATCACAAGAGAGAATCGATGACCTGACCAACATCTTGGCATATTTTGAACCAAACCCTAGGTTGGACCGGTGGATGACGATGCCTGACATGGGTCATCTTATATCGTCTTTCTACCAAGTCGTTTTAGTCCACTTGCCTATGCAACAATGTTTGACATTCCTCCCTCTTAGGTCAATACCGACGTCTGCTGCCTCTCGCAAGGAGATATGTATTGGCTTTGTCAACAACAACCATTTTGTTCAAGTATTGGTTTCTAATATTTTTGTACATTCTAATTTTTTTTTAAAATTCTTGTATATTATAACGACAACATTTTTGTACATTCTAATTTATTTTTATTTTTTTGTAGCTCATTTTGGAGCCTGGTCATCCTATTCTACCAATAGCAACTAACTGGCGGAGGTACCATGACCCTTGTGCAGTAGGCTGGAATGTTGCATACAGTTCCAGAGTGCAACATTTCAAATCACCAATCAATCGAGACGTAGCCACAATCGAAACAGTAGACTTGGATGAGGACTAATGTCATATGAGTGAGCTAGGAAATAGAATTAGAATGGATTTCAGTTATGTAATTTTCTTTGTTAAACTAACTTTTAGAATGGAAAAGAGTGAATTGGAATGGATTTAACTTTATGTATTTTGAATGGATTTAATTCATGTTATTTTCTTTATTCTAATGAATTGGAATGGTAAACATTGAATTGAAATGAATGTTATTTTCTGTGTTGTACTAAATTAAAGTTGATGAAAAAAGTGAATTGGAATAGATTCAAGTTACACAGTGATGAACCATATATGTTCGGCATTACAGTGATAAACGAAGACCATCTGTTCGACACTACAGTGATGAACAAGTCAGTTTGATTCGGTCAGTTAGTGATGAACAGAAAATTCATGTCTATTCATTAGTCCATATTTGTTTATTCAGTGATGACCATAAAGCAATAAACTTACTAATATTTGAAACAAACAAACTATCAAACATCAAACCAATTCAAACCATCAAACCATCAAATGTTCGGCATTACAATGATAAACTAAGACTACCTGTTCGGCATCACAGTGCTGAATAAGTCAGTTTTATTCGGTTCCACAATGCTGAACGAGGAGGATTTGCTCGATTAGTCAGTGATGAACAGAAAATTCATGTTTATTTCCATCTTTGTTTGTTCAGTGATGACCATAAAGCAATAAACTTACCAATATTTGAAAGAAACAAACTATCAAACCATCAAACCAATTCAAACCAACCATCAAACCAATTCAAACCATCTAAACCATCAAATGTTCGACATTACAGTGATAAACTAAGACTACCTGTTCGGCATCACAGTGCTGAATAAGTCAGTTTTATTCGGTTTCACAATGCTGTACGAGGAGGATTTGTTCGGATAGTCAGTGATGAACAGAAAATTCATGTTTATTTCCATCTTTGTTTATTCAGTGATGACCATAAAGGAATAAACTTACCAATATTTGAAAGAAACAAACTATCAAACCATCAAACCAATTCAAACCAACCATTAAACCAATTCAAACCATCAAACCATCTAAACCATCAAATGCTCGGCATTACAGTGATAAACTAAGACTACGTGTTCGGCATTATAGTGCCAAATAAGTCAGTTTTATTCGGTTCTACAGTGCTTAACGAAGAGGATTTGTTCGGTTAGTCAGTGATGAACAAAAAATTCATGCTTATTTCTGTAGACACCCCATTTTTGACCAACCTTAAGACTCAGACGTCACCAATTGAGCGCTTGGTGATGTTGCATATCGCACTCATTCAGAAGTCTCAGAGTCGCGGCCGTGAGCCCTGCCTCCGGATTTCCGAACCCTCTTCTGTTCCTTGTCTCGGTTTGCGAACCAGACTCGATTTTCTCTGTTTCTTTTCCTGAGGGGAGGGAGAGGTCCTATAGACCATCTCTCAGTGGCCGTAGGCTACGTTTTATGGTCGTAGGCCATTTTGCCCATTTCAGAGCCTGGTTTCTGGTTTTTCGGGACTGTTGGCCGTGCGCCTCGGTTCGGGACCGCCTAACCATCTCCATTTGCTCTGATTTTTGGCATACATCTTATTTTCTCCCTTTCAAGGGACACTGGGGTCAGAGAAACCCACTTCGTGGCCGAACGCCACTTTTGGTGCTTAGCAGCCCATTTTCGGGACCCCGAACTGCGTGTTTTGGTCCCCGAACATTCGTTTTGCATCGGTTCTTGTTCATTTTTGGCAGGTACCTCTGTTTCATCACCGAGAAGGTCACTGGAGGGTGGGAGGCCAGCAATTATCTTGGCAACCAGTTATATTCCATTTTCGCCCTCCGACACCCGTTTTTCGCACTTCCGAGCCAATGTTGAACACCTTGGGGCCACTTTCTTCAACCCCAAACCACATATTTGTGTTGTACACACATGGGAGGATCCTAATATTATATGGTCGGCCAAAAAATCCAATTGAACGTTTTGAACCCCTCCTAAAAATAGCTTGTTCTCTCTCCTGTTTTAGAGTTTCCAAATTCGAACCACAGGGTTGTGATGAGGGGACCAGGGAGGCCACCTTTTTGTGGTGGCCGGCCACTAAATCTAGTTGACCTTTTTGACCCCTAGCTGGCCGGCTAGGGG